AGGTGGCTCTGCTGTGGCTGGAAGAAGCAGCTTTTGTGTAACCGGCAGAGAAAGGGCAGAGGGAAGAGTTTCAAAGGACAAGCAGCTCCCGGAGAAGACTCCATAGAAAGCACCGCATTTCCCATCGTCTCACATACACAACAGTGGAGCAGATTGATTTCCGTAAGTCCCACCAACCAACAAAAAGCTACTTTGCATACGGAATTGATGGGGAACGGGCGTATTTCCATTTTAAAGGATGCCTTTTCAAAGTTATTTTTAGTGGGGCCCTGCAATAAGATAACCCCCAACACCTGAATTGCAATGTGTGGGTGCAGCAATATGATATAGGTCCTGTTTGTCCCATCACAAACACACACACACACACACAGAGTAGGCTTTATGGGTCCCCCCCCCCCAATGTTGGCTAAGGAAAAACAAAATAGAAGAGATCTGTTAGGGTGGAAAATACTCAAATGTAAATCCGTCTCCTTCTCCACTGAAAGAAGTAATTTGAAGACACTCTAAGGGTATTATGGCTCCAGGAAGAAATCTCTTCCTGTGGTTTTTAACAATTTAACTGATTAGTTTTTAAAAAGCATGATGCTTTAAGAAAAATACAAAAGCGTTCAACACCCACCCCCTCTGCTAGAAGACTACTTCGCAGAACACACACGATTTCCAGTGAAAATGCACAATTCAGCCCCACTCTCCCTTCTGTCTTTAGGCCAACCTTCCCCAACACGCCACCCTCCAGAGGCAATCCCTATTGGCTGGAGGTGATGGGAGCTGTAGACTGAAGCATCTAGAGGGCACCAAGTTGGTGAAGGCTGTTCTAGGCATTCTTCCTCCTCTCTTCTTGAAAGTCCACCCATCTTCCTGTCCTGTTCCTTGATTTGCAGACCATTGCTCTTCCTTTCACCTTCTGTGACCCATAGAGAGATGTTGTAGGTCCTCTTCCAAGCCTTCATCTACTTCTTTTCACAAAGTCTGAATCCATCGGGGTGGGTGGGTGGGAATAAAATAAATATTGATGGATGGATGTTTTTAAAGCATGGTTATGATTTTTTTTCCCTCAATCTTACTGCTTTAACTTTTTATAAACCACTTTGAGGGTTTTGTTTTGTTTTGGCAGCCAAGCGGTATATAAATTTTATGAAATAAATGCACTTTTATGAATGCATCCTTAATGCATTTATGGGTTCTATGTATTACAGAAGTGCAGAGTGGAAATATTTTTGCATTATTACCATCTCACTCCCTGTATTCAGCCCACCTGTATTTTGATCCTGTGAACAAAGCTCACCTTGTCTTAATATCTCTGTTTATATTCACTTTTTTAAAAGCAGAGCTTTTTCTTTAACCACAAACACCCAACCTATGGGCGTAGAATCAATGAAAACACAATGGGTTATATTTTATTTTGTTTTGTTTTGTTTTGAGTTTAGTGGTTTCATCCTTTGTCTGTTTGCAATTGTTCTTATTAATTCCACAAATTAATATTACCAATTCTATGTCCATTTAATTTACATTATTTGGGAGTTCAGGTCCAATTTTGTTCATAATCACCTTTCTTAGTTTCCCGGGAATTACTTCTTTTTTATTTAGATAGTAGTCATGTACAACCAGTCCAAAATGATGTGATATTATGCTCTGAGCATATGCACAGACCCTAAATAGAGTTCTTTGGGGGCAATTTGCAATAGGAGAGGGCTGATGAAAACTGGAATCCAATAACATCTGGAGAGTATGATGCTTGCAGTTACATCTGCTGTTCCCTGGCTTGATCCCCATGGCAGAAATGTAGGATAAAATGTATTAAACGTTTAAGCTTATGACCTGGGTGCCACATACAAGCCTAAGTGTTGTACATGGAAAAACTGGTTGTTGATCACCAGAGCCATAATGAGTTACCCTTAAGAATGCTGCAGCAATTCCAGCAAAAGTAAGAGGAGAATCTTAGGATTCAATCTCATTTATTCCAGTTTCCCCATGGCGTGGATTTCAGAGGCATTCCAACTGCATGTCACTGTGACTTGGATAAGAATCACTATATGGCTGACAGTTTGTGCTTAAATTGAAGTGCTCGTTTGGAAAACTCTGTACACTATTTCCTTAGGTGTCTGTCACAAGACTAGAGACAGGATTTCAATGATACCCTGCCCACTTTATATTGTCTTGCCATTTAGGCTCTTGATACATAGATTTCTGCTTATGGGAATACATTCCAATTAGATGCCCTTAAAAAAGAGAGAGAGAGAGTCCATTTTTTAAAGTGACATTTTTCTTAGTGAGAGCTGCAAACTAGCAAAAGAGTTGGGTGTTGTCACTGCCAATTCCTCTGCACAATTCGGAAAGGCTGTTTAAGTAGCTGTGAACAGGGTGTCTGTAGTTTCCAAGAGTTTGGGTTTTTTTAAAAAATAAATAAATGGTGATGTGGAAGGGGAAACAGTTTTGCTAGGTTCCCCCCCCCCCCCAAAAAAGAACCCCAGTGAACTCATTTGTTCATGGTACACCAGGTATCTAATTCAGATTTCAAGTCTGAGTAATAACTTCAAAAGAGTTACAAGGAAGTCCAAGGATCTGTGCAAATGATCTTTTGTCAGAATCTACAGAACCTTTTTTGCACCTCATAAATAGCTCTTCTTTGCTAACTGCATTTAGATGGTTACAAGTCCTGGGGAAATAGCAGGTTCGTGCTGTCCTTCCTTCTAGTGAGATGAGTACTGTATTTACTTTCAAAAGCATCTATTAGACCAGTATCTTTTTCACTCTCTGGTTTTCTGTTCAGTACCAGAGAAAATATATGATACGTTATTGCTTTTCATTACTTCCATTTGTATCCTGCCTTTCTTTAAACGTGGAGCTGAGGGTTATAGCCAGTGCTAGTCCTACTCTGAGGAGACTCGTTGAAAACAATAGACATGGCTCACTTAGGTCCACTAATTTTAATGAGTGTACTCTGAATATACATTAATTAGAGATGACCTTCAGTGAGGTGACTGATGTCAGTATCCTTTTCCTATAGATTGTAGAGCAGCATGCCATTTTGTGGTTCTCTCTCTTTTCCTGCTCATTTAGATGGGACAGACTTTTTTTATCACACTATGTCCCCCATAGCAGCCATTTTGTGTTATGCCACACCCACATAGCAGCCATTTTGTGACTGGTGCCCACTGCACTTTTCAAAATTCAGAATGTTTCAGGCTGCCCCCCCAAAAAAGTTGGGGACCTTGTCCTTTGGTTAGAGATATAATGATAGGTAAAAAGGTAAAGGACCCCTGGATGGTTAAGTCCAGTCAAAAGTCCAGTATGGTGCTCATCTCGCTTCAGGCCGAGAGAGCCAGCGTTTGTCCACAGACAGCTTTCCGGGTCATGTGGCCAGCAGGACCTAACCACTTCTGGCACAATGGGATACCATGACGGAAGCCAGAGCACACGGAAATGCCGTTTACCTTCCCGTCACAGCAGTACCTATTTATCTACTTGCACCGGTGTGCTTTAGAAATGCTAGATTGGCAGGAGCTGGGACAGAGCAAAGGGAGCTCACCCCGTCACGGGGATTTGAACCACAGACCTTCTGATCAGCAAGTCCAAGAGGCTCAGTGGTTTAGACCAGAGCGCCACCCGCGTCCATAATGATATTTACAGATAGGGTAACTATACGCAGAAGCAGCACTTTTTTCCAGGGAGATCTCGCCAGAACCAGTTCCGGCATCTTTTCGGTGGGTTCTGGAATATCTCAGGTGAGTTCCAGCACCTCTCAGGTAGGTGCTATTGCCATTCTAAGAGAAAGAGTTGAGTTCTGGCACCTCTTTTTCTAGTAAAATAGCACTGAGCAGAAGCGATCAGAAAAACCAAGCTCTCAACAAATATCACAGGATAACAAAGGATCAGGGGCCCAATACCATTGTGCAGATGGTTAAAAATCTGGGTACAGCCAGTGAGTTCATATATGACAGAATAGCAAAGGGTAGCCATTGAGGGTTCAGTTGGAGACAGAGATCCTACGAGGAGAGAGTGCACAGAGACCGAGACGTTAGGGTTGCCATATGTCCAGAATATCTGGAACACCTGTAGCCAGCGGCAGTGTCTGGGTGAAAATCATGAAAAATGTCCAGGAAATCTAGATGTATGGCAGCCCATGTTGGCAGTGCTGTTTTTTGTGGGGGTTTTTTGCTGATTTTCCAAAAAAATAAATAAAAAATAGCTTTACGTTATTTTGCCAATAAAGCTCAACAACTTTGCTCATAAAAGCTCAGTAACTTTTCTGTCCAGATTCTCACTGTTTGAAATATGGCAACCCTAACTAACACAAAATGCCTTGAGGGTGAGATGGCTGTAAATCAAACTGTAAAAAGATTGAAATTCCCTCTTCTATGCTACTATTTTTATTTTTATTTTTAATCCCTCCCTTCCTCCAAGGAGCTCAGGGTGCGATTCATGATGCCCCTTTGAATTTATTTCCCATTAAACATGTTGAATAGGTTAGGCCAAGCTTCCTCAAACTCGGCCCTCCAGATATTTTTGGCCTACAACTCCCATGATCCTTAGCTAGCAGGACCAGTCTCAGTCTCAGTCAGTTTTATTGCACATAGCCAAAGGCTGCCGCAATGTACACAGAATTATTTGACAATTAAAAGAAAATATACTGAATTGATAAAAAAAGACTTAAAACATTTATATTATTAAAACATTACGTACTCTAAACAAAGCTATAAACAAAGCTACAAAGCTAAACAAAGCTATAAAAGTACCCCAATGTACAAATAAAAACATTAAACAATAAAATTCATAAGCTAAAATCATCACATGGTCACTAATGTTAAAAACAATATCAATTAATACAGTGTGCAATTTATACTCAGAGTTTGGTGACAAAGATAGAGCATAGCCTGAGGTAGATAGATAGGATCAAATAAATTCTGAGTCAGACCACTGGTCCATCTAGATCTGTATTGTCTACACTGGCTGGCAACAGCTCTCCAGGGTTTCAGGCTAGAGTCTCTCCCAGCCCTACCTGGAGATGCTATGGATTGAACCTGGAACCTTCTGTGTTCAAAGCAGATGCTCTACCATTGGGCCGTTGTTTTTGTGCCAGTTCGGTTCTCTCAAATTGTGCCACCATTCCTATGGAAAATAAACTCCATATTATTATTTTTTGAGGACCCTAATTTCTCCTTAATAATCCAGGGGTGGCGAGCCTGTGGCCCTCCAACTGTTCTTGGACTACAACTCCCATCAGTCTTAGCATGACCAATGGTCAAGGATGATGGGAATTGTAGTCCAACATCTGGAGGATCACAAATTCCCCATCCTTTGTTATAACCACTCACTTCCTGTCTCACAGTTCCTCGTGGTAGACACACAGCAACTTTTCCATCAATGTCTGGCCGCAGAACCATCACTGAATATTTCCATGGCCTTTATATAATATTCAAAGTGAATGCCTTTTCCCTTTCCCCCCTGTTTATTTTGGAGCACACTACCCTATCTATGAACTTTAGAAACCTTGTAAACTTTAAAATTCTGCTTCCACTTACAGATAAAAACAACGTTGTTTAATGCTGGTGTTCAAGGTACATTAACTTTGTCTGCTAAAGATCTCCTTGCCTGTTGCTGTGGTGTTCAAAAGAAAGAAAAAAGAAAAAAATCCCAGTGTTTATGTTATAGAGACATCCCTGGAGCAATCTATTCTGAAAGATTGGTTTGCGATTAGTTCCTTTGGAAGGGAGAAAGTGGCTGATTTGTAATTGTTACCCTTCAGACATGTTACAGTACCTTCTCTTTCTCCCACTCAAAGCTTCTGTTTCAGATACCTCTAGACCACCCATTTGGAAAAGACCTCAAGGGATTGGGTCCAGTGTACTGAAGTGAGTGGTTTGAATAAGGCTGCAAATCCTTGCTCAGGCAGGAAGGTCACTAGGTGGTAGTTCTCGTGAAAACCCTAAACAAAACAAAACAAAACAAAATAGTGGCATGGTTTTTTGGTATGCTAGGCAGCCAAGTGCCAAAAGAAATGAATAAGAGCAGGCCCAGGAGATGATGACTCAATTGGAATCGGTTGTGAGTCCATCTTAAATTGTATGAAGGAGCTGAACCAGGTAGCGTTATGCAAGCGCTACAGAAGGTGGTGAATTTTGCCATCAAAATGCAGGAAACCCAGGCAAGGAAATAATGAAATATTCAGCTGCTATTTACGGAATTGATTTGAAGATCAAGAAGTTACGAGCAGCTAGATGAAAAGGATTAAGTAGGAAGCGTGAATGGAGAGATACTATGGTGCAGAATTAAATTGGCGTTTCAGCTGTTCAATACTTTATGTGGATTTTATGAACAAGGAAGGGAAGGATATGGGCATGCAGATACGGTAGAGCCTTTGCTTTTCATAGTAGGGGGTGGTTGTTCCTTCAGACGGGGGTGTGTGGCATGGGGCGCATGGCATTTCCCTCCCCACCACCCATCAACTTTTGTATGTGCTTTTTGGGCTTTCGTTTCTGCATCTTGAGACCCAGCAACCTCACCCACTAACCTCTCCCCGCTAACCTCTCCCCACCATAAAATCACCCGCTAACCTCTCCCCACCATAACAATGCAGGGAGAAGTGTGGGCTGCTTCTCTTGCTTTTATTGCAGTGTTTGATGCGGCTGAATGAGGCAGCCCCTTGCTTTTCACTGTCTTTTGTGGGTAGGGTGACCAGGTAAAAAGAGAACAGGGCTCTGCCCTACACAACTGTTATGGGAGCTGGAGCCTTGCCCTCCTTTTCACCTGCTCACCCTACTTGGCAGGGGCGAGGAACCTTTGGTTCTCTAGCTGTTGCTGAACTACAACTCCCACCATCCCTGGTCATTGGCCATACTTGCTGGGGCTGGTGGGAGTTGTAGTTCATTAACGTCTGGACATCTGGTGGGCCAAAGGATTCTCACACCTGCTATAGAGAGACCCACAGAGTTGTGCATCTCCGCCTCTGTTTAGTTTTCCTGTCTCCAGATCTGTGAGCATTGGTGGATATATGTGTGTGTGTGTGCATACGCGGTGCACTCTTACATGGGAGTAAATTGCACTGAGAAAGTTGGGACTTTCTGTTGCATATAGGAGTTCATTGCACAAAATGTAAACTAGGTTAGGCTATTAGTCTACTAAGGCCAGTATTTTCTATTCCAGGGATGGAGAACCTGTAGTCCTCCAGAGGTTGCTGGAGGAGCTCCTATCAGTCCCACCAAGCTTGGCCAATGGTCAGGGTCAGGGATAATGGATGTTATAGTCCAACAACCTCGGAGGGCCACAGGTTCCACACCCCAGCATACCCTTACTAGCGGTGACTGTTCAAAGTCTCAGACAAAAGTCTTTCCTATTGCCTGATACCCAAGCCTTTTCATTGGAGATTCAGTGTTTGAATCAGGGATCTCCATTGTGTTCTACAATACCTCCCCAAATCAGATTTAGGAGTAATTTCCTCAGTGTTTTGGTAGGACCTTCTCTTCTACCACCACCGTCGACTCCTTCTTCTTCCTGAAGCCTTGATTCAAGTTAGCTTCCAGATTGTTTTACACAATGCATTTGTTCCCACTGAATGTATGAAGGGAGGAATCATGATCACTCCCACATGCCCCAAACCCAACCTCTGTTCATTTGGACAAAGGTTTAAGCAAACCCAACACACAATTATTTTGCATTATTTGGACGGAGCCTGACACATGCAGTGGCTCACAATGGGAAAATATCAATTAAAAAACACTACATATACTTAACAATGTACCATCAAATACTTTATCTAATCAAATCAAATAGGAGAGGGAACAGAAAAAATAAAAAAGCAGCAACAAGAAGTTAATAAAATAATCATAATAAAATATCAGAACCAGTAAGAATCTGCAAATAGATTCTGAGTATTGAACATCAGTATTGCTTCACTAAAGAAGGCCTTTAACTTGGCACCTAAAACTTAGCAGAGAAAGGTGCAGATGAACCTCTCTAAGGAGTCTTCCATATGTGGGTCACCACCACCAAAAAGGCCCTTTTCTGTAGTTGCCGCCTGCCTAACTTTTTCAGGCAGAGGCAGCCTGTGCAGTAATGCATTTAGGTAATTACAGACTCTGGGGAGCCCATTAAGATTTTAATGTTCATAAAGGTGGTAAAGGCAGCTCTGTTGCATTTGAGAGTTGTCCTGTTCACCCTGCTGAGTGAGGCCCTGGAATTAGGGGGGAGGGGGGCAGACCGCCCCGGGTGTCTTCACTGAGGGAGGTGACATTTGGCAGTTGTGAGTCAGTGGCATGCCGAATGTCTGCCATTGGCGGCTTGCTCCACCCTGTGGGCGGCTCTCTCTGCCCTCGGCTGCAGGACATGTTTGCCACACCATGCACCAGAGCAGCTATCCCATGCCTGGGAGGGCACCCTCCATGCCCCATGCCCCCCTCAGGAGCGTGCCCGCCTTGGGCAGTGTGGGCCTATGCTCCACCACTGCCTGGAATCCTGCCCTCAGTGTGTTTGGATGTAGACACAAATGAGAAGGGGAATGAATGAAACCTACCGATATCAATAATTGTACCACTTGGAGTGGCATGCATTACAAATAGATGCCGTTCACAGGCATCTGCAGCCAGCCCTCTCAGCTATATTTTCTTTTGGAGTGATTCAGCAGCTAATATTCCAACTGGGCATTTTTTACTTCCCCCCTCACTGTTGTATGAAGTCATGCCGTTAATCAACAGGAACTAAACACAAAATGGGTATGAGACTCGTTTCTCTCTGTGCTGCCATTCCTGCAGATGAATTAAAGTTCTGGGTAAGGATCTCTAGAGGTCACTTTTGGCTAAACGTGAACAATCATCAGTTATGAGAGCTGGGCTCGGCCAGTTGCCAGCTGTACTTTAGATTTTTCTGCATTATGAGCTAAAGGGATAAAGCCAAGATTGGTCTGTTTCTGTCGTGAATGTTGCTTCTGTTCTCCTCCTGGCTTTTAGTTTCCGGCTAATGACAGATGCGTCCTGGTCTTTCTGATCAAGGCTAGGGCATGTTGGGCTGGTGAATTCCAGACTGGAGTGGGGAACCAGTGGTGGTCCACATGTTGCTGGGCCAATGGTCAGGGATGATAGGAGTTGTTGTCCAGAAACACCTGGAGACCCTGGTACAGAGCAACTTGGGCCTCCAATCTGAGCGTGCATGTGACTGTGCGAATTAGTGCATATACCGTATTTTTTGCTCTATAAGACTCACTTTTTCCCTCCTAAAAAGTAAGGGGAAATGTGTGTGCATCTTATGGAGCGAATGCAGACTGTGCAGCTATCCCAGAAGCCAGAACAGCAAGAGGGATTGCTGCTTTCACTGCACAGCGATCCCTCTTGCTGTTCTGGCTTCTGAGATTCAGAATATTTTTTTTCTTGTTTTCCTCCTCCAAAAACTAGGTGCGTCTTGTGGTCTGGTGCGTCTTATAGAGCGAAAAATACGGTAATAATTAGCATAAAGTGAGCATTCTTATTCCCAAACCCTCCATCTTTACTCAGGTGAAAATAGGGACATTATCCCAGTATTAATACCTGCTGCCTTGTGGGACGTCTTCAGGAGAAGAAAAGGCAAGTCTTGGCAACTCCTTCAGCCAAGCTGGTGCCAGATATTTTGCTCTGCTTTCCTTTGGAGACCACACCAGGGAGGCCAAGAGGGGGGTCTTATCATCTGGGCAGCCTAGGAGCTCCATACAGGCTTGTGCCCTGGGGAGGTCCTTTGGTACTGCTAATAATAATAATAATAATAATAATAAAAAAATAAATTTTCTTTATACCCCGCCCTCCCCAGCCAAGACCGGGCTCAGGGCAGCTATCACCTGATATAAAAACAAATTGATTGAAATGCAACTTAAAAGCAAGATTAAAATACAACATTAAAACATTAAAATATTAAAATACAGCCTCATTTCAATGGAGACTCAAATCAAAAACTTTTTGGGGGATGAAAACGTCAAGTCTTCACCAAGGCTAACTTTCCAGACTGGTCCTACATAGGCCAGAAAAAAGCCAGGGAAGTCCCCAAATAGGAGTTCCATTCCAGGAGGGGGAAAGGAAAAAAGGAAGAGGGGGAGGGAATCAAAT